CCTAAATTTAAACCATTCAGCATTCCCTTGTTATATTCGAACAACTGCCTCTTGGTCTGTGTACAGATTCCTAATGAGCACAATTAAGTGTTCCAAAGTACTCATTCTCTGCAATGTTGTCCATAGCTTGTCATGATCCACACAATGGAAAGCCTTTGTGTAGTCAATAAAGCACAGGTAAACATCTTTCGGGTATTCTTTGCTTCCAGCCAAGATCCATCTGACATCAGCAATGATATCCCTCATTCCATGACCCTGTGTGAATCGGCTTGAACCTCTGGCAGTTCCCTGTTAATGTATGGTTGCAGCCATTTGTGAATTATCTTTTGTAAAATTGTACTTTCATGCAATATTAATGATATTGTGCAATGATTTCCACATTCTGTTGGGTCACTTCTCTTTGGAATGGGCACAAATATGGATCTCTTCCATTCAGTTGGCCAGATAGCTGTCTTCCAAATTTCTTGTTATAGTTACTAAAACTATGACCCCTTTTTGTTCATTTTAGTATATGTGAGTATATGTAGCATTTACAAATTTGTTTGTAGAAATATCCACCACACTCCTGGTGTGGCACTGTAAGATCAGCACTGGATGGTGAACCATAAGGTTGGCCGTTCAAACCCACCAACTGTTTGTTGGAAACCCTGTACAGGAATCAACTTGACAGCACTTAACAACAACAACAACATGCCTATGCAGCAGGAGTTTAGTGGCTCTGTAGGATAAGCACTAGACTGCAAACCACAAGTTTGGCATTTTGAGTTCATCAGCAGCTACATGGTAGAAAGATGAGGCTTTCTGCTCCTGTAAAGATTTACAACCTCAGAACCATTATGTAGGGTCACTATGAGTCAGAACCAACTCTGTGGCACTTAACAATAACAACATACCTGTATGTGTATGTGAGTGAGTCCATGTGCAACCTCCTTCGCCTATTAGCACACATGTTTACCTTTTAGGTACTTTGAAATTATTATAAGTAAAATTGTATTGAGGGTGATTCAGAAATGGTTGCAGCGTACATTGAAAGAGAGCTACCAGAAATTTAATCTGGTTTCAGAAGAGGATGTGGAATGGGGGATATCTTAGCTGACGTCAAATAGATCTTGGCTGAAAAAAGAGTATCAGAAAAATGTTTACTTGTGCTTTATTGACTATTCAAAGACATTCAACAGTGTTGATCATAACAAACTATGGATAACATTGATAAGAATGAATATTCCAGAACACTTAATTGTGCTCGTGAGGAACCCATACTTACAACAAGAGGCAATTGCTTGTAGGAATACTGAATGGTTTAAAATCAGGAAAGGTGTGCTTGAAGAATGTGGTATCAGGATTGGAGGAAGACTCATTAATAGCCTGTAATATGCAGATAATACAACCTTGTTTTCTTGAAGCAAAGAGGATTTATTGATGGTGATCAAAGACTACAGCTTTCAGTGTGGATTGTACCTCAATGAAAATCCTCACAACTGGACCAATAAATAACATCATGAAAATGGAGGAAAGATTGAAGCTGTCAAAGACTTGATTTTGCTCGGATCCACTATCAATGCTCATAGAAACAGTAGTCAAGAAATCAAATGACATATGGTATTAGCAAACCTACTGCAAAAGACCTTTTTAAAGTATTAAAGAGCA